CTTTTTAGCAAGAGGTGCTAATTTTCCAGCTCAAACATTTTGATGTTAAGCGAAAAAACTGTCAATATCTCGAGCACACTCGCAAGTTCTATGCTGTTTAAAACCCCAATTTCAGAAATTATTATCATAGTTTCAGGGGAGGGGGGGAGAAGAGTTAACAAACGATTTTTCTAATGTGTGAAATTAAAAAGACCTATAGCTCGACTTCCACATTTCATTATTCGCACCTTAAGTACAAATAACCACACATTTTTTTTCTCCGGATTTCTAAATCACTTCTTTCACTATTTGGTGGCTATTCTAGCCTTTTCGCCATCATTATCTGATATTATTAAAAGCAAAATCTTTCATCAGCTCCAATAGTGAGCAGTTGGACGAGTTCCAACTCCTGCCAGCACAGCCACACACTTAAAAATTAGGACATAGCACCCTATACGATCAGAAAGGAAATAGCTGGAACCGGTGCCCTGCTAGCCGATCTAAAAAAGCAAATTTTTAAGCCTTAATTATGAATGAAAAGGCAAGTGATTCAGGCGGAACCCTAACTCGTAGGGCTAACTCTTAACGTACATCGAAGGTCCTCGGTTCTGAGCAGCATGCTTCCCAACGAGAAAGGTCATTCCTCACAAACAGCGCATAAAGGAAAAGTACCACCTAGAGCAGACCCCAGAACCGAGACGAGTCCCGCTTTAAAAGCATAGTGCAGGGGGGGGGGGGAGTGCAGAGGGAGAGGGGGGGGGGGGTAAACACGGAGGAAAAAAAAAAAGAGAGAGAAATCCTAAGTTTCAGAGAACAGCACATTTGTGTTTACAGACCTGCTATGAAATCCTGCTCACCTAAGCTGATTTCTTTTCATCTCAGCTCTTTCATTCCTTGCCTCCTCCCCACGAAGTTACAAAATATTAGCAAACTCGTAGCCCGTTTGACATTGAGGGTGATCCCCGATTGAAATAATGGTTTTGACCAGTTTTATTTCAAGTACGTCATTTTAGGGAGTTGGAGCCACTAAAGTTATAAAATATGGCATCCAACGAGTTTGAAAAAACACTCGAATTTCATCCACCAGCCTGTTTAAAACGTTGTCTTTTTTGGAAACCCGGGTCACGTAGGTACCAGTGATGAAATATTTTCTCCCTCTCTGGATACCAACCTGCAGCGCAGTCCTCCCAAATCCATTTTGTGCATTGACGTTTACATTCTTTTGCAACAAATTAGTAAGTTGCTCTAGGTCCCCCTTGGCAGCCGCGGACGCCAGCTCGTTCCCAGAAGGCTCGGCCATTCTTTAGGGTGACTGACGATCGGAAAAAAGATGAGATTTTTTTTTTTTTTTTTTTTTAACCAGGCATGGCATCGGAGACTGACAGAAGGATTGGGATGGTTAATCTTCTGGAGTAGACCTTGTAGTAAATACTCGTAAAAAACCTCCTTGCCAAGAGCCCGCCCCTAACTCACACGTGATTATTCAGCAAAACTGCAGCTCCACTTGAAAGAAGATTTCTTTGCTTCCACATATAGAGTAACTCCTATTAAAGACTTTGGCCACTTTCGGGGGGGAGACAGATTAATAGCTATGCAACACATTATATATGTTATGGGTAACATATATACACGTACACCGGAGACTCACTCAGACCTGAGATCTTTGAAGAAGAAGACAACCCACCCTGTTCACAGTCGGGATCTGAGACTTTAGCAGCAACAGCTCCGAGGAAAAGTCTTC